GTGATCAGTCAGGACGAATACGTGTTGAAAACCTCCTTTTGATGATTCTAAAGTAAGAAAGTCTACACAGACAAGCCCTAGTGGTTGTGATGTAGTGATGTTTATAAGAGGGGCATTCTGGTTTGCAGGAGTATTACGTTTAATGTTTAATGCATCTGGAACAACCTTAGATCCACTTTTCCACATCTGTGTTCATTCCGGGCCAGAGGAAATGATCTTGAATCAGAGACAGGATACGATCTCGTCCAGGGTCCCCTGGTAGCATAGCTGATGACACGTCGTTGGTTATCCTGGTGTTGGTTTAATATGGTTCCCAGTCCTCGTGGACTTGCGTCAATGAGCAGTTCAAACGGTAAACTAAAATTTGGAAATGCTAAAAATGTGCCCCAGGTCCAGGTACTAGGGACTTAGACTTTTTATTGGTAACTCATTCAAACTTTCTAAAATATCCTAGGAAACCAAGGACATGTCGTAATTCATCTGGTGTTGTAGGCGTCTTTTACATCTTAATCGTATCAACCTTCTTAGGTTCAGTATCCGTGCCTTTCTCTGACACAATGAATTCTAAGTTTTTACTCGGGCCTGGAACAGGAAAACGGCGACAACTTTAAACCATGCTCCTGTAGTCGCTGCATGACCTTTCCTATGCGTTCCAGCAGTTGTTCCTCGAAAGTACCAGAGAGTATAATAAGATCACTCAGATAAATGAAACACAACTTCCCTATGAAGTCGCAAAGACAGTCCTTGATAAGGCGTCGATAGGTTGTGGGTGCATTTACTAGTCCGAACGACATCCTATTATATTCCCAGAGTCCCAGGGGACCTACCGTAAATGCTGTACGTTTCTGGTGTTCCTCTAACACTTTAACCTGATTGTACCCACTCTTCATATCTAAAACTGTAAAATACTTGGATCCATGGAGGGCATCTTAAATTTCGTCAATTGAATACAATTAAAGACAGATCATATGTTCACAAACATTAAGGTAGCACACACCATCACATTACAGTAATGACCTTTAAGGAATACCATGCCTGTCTTTATTTAATATTCAAACAACAAATTAATTATATACAATGCTCACATATTATAATGACAGAATAATACAACCTGTCCGTCAGAATATCTGATTCGTTCCTAAGTTAGACTGACAGGTAGTCTTCCTGAGGATATATCATACACTAGTGTTGCCTTTAATAGCATATAAGGTGATAAACGTAATTTATTTTAATATTCTAGCAACAGTAGTTCTAGTACATAAACGAAATAAAACCATCATACAGCGCCTTATGTATAAGCTTATTTTATGTTTACCACGATGTATTTCAAACTATATTGATGTGGACATAGAGACAGCAATGCCTGCGTCCACCAATATCCTATTAAATCGTATTAAAAACAAAATCGCCAAATAGTTATTTTGTGTTCAATAAGACCATACACGAACTTCAATCCGAGCCTAAAGGAAATCTTATCTTTGTTTAGACAAATGCTACAATGTTTAACACTGATCAGTATAGTATTGCATACAAGAATGCCGAAGTTAAAATTCTCTTAAATGCTATTGTATGTGTGTAGCGAAAACTGGACTGGGTTGATCGTCGGCGACCAGCTAGTTTGACTGGTTAGAGCGTCCGTCTAAAGTTAGGAGGGTCCCGGGTTTGAACCCCTGTCTGACCGTGCATTTTTCCTCTCCTGTTACAAATGTCACATAACGAATGCTTGAACGATCTGTTTACCCGTGCAGGTTCGAAGAACAGATAAGTCGTCTGTAACCAATTGAATATTGTAAGAGGTGAGACATATCCCCCCCCCCCCCTCCGTCTCTCAACTGCATAATCGGTGAGGTTTCTTTAACGTTTTCGTTTTCGATGGAAATTGAAGAAATCAAGAATAAATGCATTAAATCCCACTGTATGGGTAACTGTATCATTAAAAGGCGACTCATACCACACCTCTCAACCGCGACCGTGTAGAATCGGTAAATCTCTTCAATGTTTTCTACATGTATACCAAAAATTGATCTGCTGCCGTTGCAACATTTTTCTTTTCTTTTCTTTGTTTTCTTCTCTCTCTCTTCTCTCTTTCTTTCTTTCCTAACTACTTTCTCTTCGGCGGTGTCTCCTTAGGTATCTGTCGCCATGCAGTTTAACTATTTTTAGTCTCTCGTTACTCTGTTAGAGTGACTTTCGTCATCAGATCAATTGTTTTTTTCATTGTTCCATAAGCAGACGACACAAAATAAAACCCACGATTTTGCAGGCGGTTGATCATTAGTCGCCTCTTTCAATAACATACAGTTGGAAACAACAAGGCCTATTATGTCTCAGACATTGTGATTAGATATTACGCGGAGAATTGCTAGTAATGACGTCATTATTACTAGTGACGTCAAGGACATTAAGGTAGAGAAGGACACTTGAGCCAAACAAAATCTTGTAAATGATTTGTTTTTAATTTCGCATATGTTGTTTTTTGGGGTGTACCTAACAAAATATCAAAATTTGAGAAAAGGTTTCCAGGCTATTTTAAAAAATATTCTTTGAAAGAGTTACCCCCCTTTGAAGTCCGAAAAATGTCATTTGTCATTAAGGTACCCGCCAAAAAAATGCATATAATTTGTTTTTGAATTTATCTGAGAACAATATGATAAATTAATATTTTGAAATATTTTAGACACAATATATTAAAAAAAAACTTTTTGTTTTTAAAATGGCTACCCGTTTCTGCAATATGCCTGCAACTGGCTTAGGTAAAATTTCGCAAAAAAGTGATTGTAAAGTCGAATAGAAAAAATGATGTCAATGAATATTTTTTTTAAATATGTATGTAAAATACCTTATATCCATGCTACAAATAATAAAAAAAAATAAAGATATGTTTCCAGGGAAAACAAAAAGTTAGGGGGGTTAGAACGACACCCTGTTAGACACCGTTTTATGCAGATTTCATGAAAAATGTCCTAATTTTTCACTTTTTTAAAACTCTTTTATTTTAAGGTGCAATTGATTCTTAAATTTGCATTGCTTTTGCCTCAGGCATGTTTTTGTAATATTATTTTATCCTTTCAGGTAACCTTCTTTAGGTTTAAAGGAGGTTGCATCTGTTTTGAATATTCAAGTTGGCATTTGACCTCAAAGCGAAATCATCATTTCGTCGGTTAATAATCCTGGATCAATATAGTCTCATCTTTCACAAAAAAAAGACATAAGACTTGGAAAGGATATATATCTTATTTCAATCAACAATAATTATAAAAAGCAACATTTATTTGACCTTGGTTTTGACCTCATTTTAAAAGGATTGTCCAACCAATTTTTATGTCATTGCAGTGTATTGAGTTTTGGGTCCCGACATTCGCAAAAACCGGAGACGCAAATAGAAGGGGTGCTAAAAATATTTTGTTTGCCTCATTTCACCTACTATATCCTTCAGATGGAGTGGGGTGTTGCATCTGTTGCAGAATAGTTGTTCAGCTAGCACCTCTAACTCAACAACCCTCCGGCCTTCATTCCATAAAATGCTTTTCGTGTGCCCGATCTCAGTAGAAACTGTAACATTCGAGGCTATGTTTTCAACTATCGGTTTCTCTTCGATTATTGTCGGTTCCACTGCTCCCCTCGTACCGCAATCATGGTCTCCCCATTGAATACATGTACCTCTGTCGTTCAAAGAGTTCATAAGTCTAGACCTTTTGAATGTATCGTTCTTTATAAAGCGACCGCGAACCCAAAGGTCATGTTGCTTGTTTACCTTGTGACTCCGTGCGTAATACTTCTGCAGTCTGGCTTCTTTATATACATCCAGGCACTTTCCATTTAAAATTCCGCAGGAAAACGTCGTGAGGACAACTATATAGAATGTCCAAAGGTCCGAGATATTATATGATGTATTTAACTCCTATAGGATACCTAATGTGTAGGGTGATGTATTTAACTTCTACGGGAAACTTAAGGTGCAGGATGATCTATTTAACTTCTACGGGAAACTTAAGGTGCAGGATGATGTATTTAACTTCTAAAGGAAACCTAAGGTGTATGCTGATGTATTTAACTTCTAAAGGAAACCTAAGGTGTAGGATGATGTATCTAACTCCTATAAACCTAAGGTGTAAGATGATGTATTTAACTCCTATAGGAAACCTAAGGTGTAGGATGATGTATTTAACTCCTATAGGAAACATAAGTTGTAGGATTGTAGATCTCGAGGCAGAAATTTGAAGCGATTAAAAAGTCATAAGAAAGTGAGGTGTGGGAGGTGTTCGAATGACACGTATGAAATTGTTTTGAAATATTATAAATCAGCCGGAAAGCGTTTTTTAAAATAACAATAAATATCAAAATGATTTTAAAAGGAAAAAAATGTTTGATATCATACGAATTTAAAATAATAATAAAAAAAAAATCGAATATAAACTTTATTTGTTTTACAACAATTATGAAACAAGTTATTTCAACTTATAATAAGGTCATAAGAGTGTATTGCTAAACGGAAATAGGAAGTACATCCCTAGTTGAAAATCCAATGTAGGGAGACAATGTGTCCATTTTTCTGTACTTCAGGAAACCGGCTACCTATTTCACTACTGTGAAGGTTTTTTGGTGGCAGAAAATGTTCGTTACTTCAAAGCAATATAACTACAAAATGTAATAAATTTGGCCCGGATGTTAGCGCGTGGAGGTCTTAGTGTGGGAAGAAACCAGTGACCCCAACCTTTTCACGTCCCATCGGGGAATCGAACCCCGATCGCCTTGGTGAAAGGCAAGTGCACTATCCACTGCACCACCCGACCACCCGACCGACTATTTACCATCAACTGTTAATTCGAGTGTCCGTTTCATAAGCAATACATAATGCACGGTACGTTTTCCAGCGAAAGCCAGCAACACTCGTAAAAATAAGTATATATAGAAAAGTCCTAGTCTGCCACATACTATCCCAGACCTCAGTGCATGTCACACACGTAGGTCAACTGCATCAAATAAATACTATCTATGTTTCCTTCGTTCATGTTATAATGGAATGTACTGAATCTAGCATTGCCTTCTGTTGTATCACTCTATAGCTTGTATTCCAGTAACGTACAGTACTTTGTCTCGTCGTCGGAAAGATTGGCATTTAAGATGATCTTGGGGTTTTTGCCCCAGAGGTGGTCCAGGCTCAAAGTGCCTTCCCAAACCGGTCCCCCGCGATTTTCAAAGTGGAACCACTCCACGTTGGCTACTATAGCCACGCCCTTAGCGCGCGGTACATGCACGCTCAACTGGATATTGGTTAGCGTAGCCTCGTTGTGAAGGATGAGGGGCTTATTCAGGTAGCATCCTTCCTTCCACTGTGCATACTGTTTGGGGTAGGGATACACGGGCTGCATTGCCCGAGTAAAGTGGATCAGGTAATTGAAGACATTGGGAAGGTACTTACTATCGTCGGACACGGGCAGGGCAAACAACTGGAGCTTGTAGTAGCCCATCTCCGGAAGCTGTATCACAAACTCGACAATATTGTCCCTCGTATGAGTGAACACATATTCGTTATTTTCCTTCTCTGTGCAACAGTTGATCTGAACTTGACACACAGGTGATTTTCCCTGACCGTGATACAGGGGTCACTGTGGCTTGAAACACTCAAACCAAGTTCCCCGAATGACCCCTGGGCACCCAAGTAACCTTCAGGTAATTCGGGTCTTACATCCGCCATTCCGAAATGCAATTAACACCTTCCGCAAAATACTAACAGGTATTCAGTGTGCTGCCCGTTTGGACGTCTGAACACTACCGGGTTGTAAATCCGAGAGCAGTGCGATTATTCGTGTCGCACAGTTTTGATTTTTAGTATATGATACATCTTCTTAAAAGTTTTCCGGAGAGGGGAAACTCATCGCTGCCCGTCATCCAATCAGCGTCGACGTATCATAGAGGGAAAGATAGTATCGTCGCTTTGGGTAGGATAAGAATGTTTGCCGGGGAGAAACCGATTCTACACTGTCCTACAATCAACATGTCTTGCGATAAAGCAGATAGCTCACTTAGTAACAAATACCTGAAATTAGATTTTCCTTTAAGTAATCCTGAAAAAAACCCGCATTAAATCAGTTAAATAATACCGTTTCTACCCGGTATAATCTCTCATCAAACCTATGAAACCATGGTGACTTCAGACTTTGAAAAGTTCAAAGAACGGCATTGCTATGTTTATACAGAAAATGCCCGCTTGTACAACGCACACGTACACATGTTTGTATTCCAACTACATACACTGGATTGTGTTAAAAACCTGCTTCTGTACCGGGTCGACTTATCCTGGCTAGTCCTTACCTCCTGCAAGGCTACCCAACACAGATGTAAAAACAATTCCAATCGCTAACAGTTCTGATATTGCTGAACGAGGTCTAGGATCGCTTATCTGTGTGCTTTGTAACTTAATTCTGATACGCACAATAGCACTCCCACACAAACACACACACGTATAGTATAATAATTGGTAGTTCTAGATGCTGTTTTTTCGTTATAAAGACGTGTATTTTAATTGTAAGTTTCCAGTATCTGAGTATTGTATGTTTCCAGTATCTGAGTATTGTGTGTTTCCGTGTATCTGAGTATTGTATGTTTCTGTGTATCTGAGTATTGTATGTTCAAAGAACCTGACTATCGTATGTTTCCGATAATCTGAGAATTATATGTTTCCGTCTATCTGATCAGTATTGTATGTTTCCGATAATCTGAGAATTATATGTTTCCGTCTATCTGAGTATTGTATGTTTTCGAGTGTCTGAGTGTTGTTTGTTTCCGTGCATTTTAATAGTATGTTTCCATCTATTTGAGTATAGTGTTTCCTTGTATTTGAGTATTGTACATTCCACTCTGTATGTGCATTGTGAAGGCATAGCTGTGTATTGCTGTCGTATATCTGAGTTTTTTATGTTTCCGTGTATCTGATTTGTATGTCTTTCTGTGTAGCCTGGAAGAATATATTTCAAAATTAGTGTACATAAATAATCAAAAGTTGTCGCTATGATTAAAATACACAATTCCAGTGAATAACTTGGTGATATAATGTATTTTGTGAAGATATCAGAATGAACATTTGCCGAATAGTGTGTTCTTTTTAGTACACACAAATAGTACCAACCAGAGTCAGTCAACAGAGTAAGTAAACTATAGTGATGCTGCACAAACATTGCAGAATCATGTCTTTATTAAAACCTGTGACGTACGACGGCGTATCACGTCGCGGAACTCTGCTGTTTACCACATACTTCCGGCTTATCAGACATTAATCTGACATAACGAATCAATCCGCAATGGAAAGTAGTGCGATGTTATGACCCAGTAGAAATGATGCTTATGTAAAGAATTTTGCATGCACGTAGCGGTAGACAGGTACTCGGGTGGGATATGTACATTCTCGTGTCTTACAGTTGTGCATTCGCGTGCACAGATAAATATAACTATGGTTTCTTAAACGATGCTTGATAAGAACACATTGTCGATAGAATAGGAGAATAACTTGTAATGCAATTCAACACACATTGAACCCAAACAAACCGGAAAGCACCCACGTAGAACAACACCAACGCCATGGAAATTAATTAAGTTGGTTAGAGTTATCAGGCGGGCGTGCATTAATCAGTGTCGGCATTGCCAGCCTTCACGTATATCCGAGGGGAAAAAAGTCTCGTAATTTCGTTCATACACCTAGGAGGTACACCTCACACTGGAATATCTCATAAAATTGCAATAAATTAACATATTATACATGTACTTGTATATATGTGGATTGAACGGCGTTTTTGAAACGTTCATACTGGTATGAACGCATATTGGCTACATACACTCTACATATTCACACTTCAATGTTCATTTCGGTATGAACTCAAATTTTCAAGCATATCTGAATATATGTACATACATGTATTGTAATACGATGGGAACATCCCAGACATCTGGTATGTAGTCGGCGCACGACCCACAGGGGAATATGAGAAACGATAGTTTCGTTTTGATTACAAAGTTGCATGTAACACAATAACTTCTAAGTTTAAACATATCACAACGATGTATCCTGACACTGAAAATGTATCAATACAAATTTAGCAATCAGAAGATTTACAAGTAGTGTTAAGACATTTAAGAGACAGAGTTTGTAAACTTTATAATGATTTTTTTAATAGCTGCAATTTGATAACACATTATTATATTGATATGGATATTTAATTGTTTTTTTTCCCTCTCCTACCGGATGTATGATATTGGAAAAATGCAGATCACTTCAGAGCTCATTTGTTAAAAAAATCTCAGTTTGCTCACAGTTTTTTGGCCAATATACAAATATTCAAGGCGAACTCTAGCAATTTTGCATGTAATTTCACCCTATTAAAATATGGAAAGTTTTTACTAATGTAATGGTCGTGATTTAAAGATTCCAAAAATGCACTAATCACTGATTAAGCTAATCACCTTTCGAACAATGGGCCCAAGGTGTTACTCATTCCAGTTTTTTGTTGTTGTCAGACGTGCACGTGACGATCAAGAACAAAAGATTTGTTCCAACACGCATGCGCGTGGCATTGTTTGTTTTAGGATGAATGACGTAACGGAAAAAATATCACGGTATGTCAAAAAGTTAAAAAGTAGTATGTATATTTATCCAATAAATTCAACCGCCTGTTTTAATCATTCTGTACCAGAAAGATGTGACGTTGTATACGATGTCGGATTTCAGGACCGATCAAAGTGCTGATTTCAATTTTCTCGTTTATATAATAAGATTGATAGAAATGTGATTATCAAAGATATTTCGAATGTACTTATCACTGAAGTGCGAGTAAAACTGGAAATGTTCCGAACACCCAATACCGGTAGTTTACGGATTAGTCTATAGATTGTTTGTCGTCAATAAAGCCCCTTGTGTTCCTATAAAAAATAAAAATAAACTTGCAAATGTTTCAGTGAAAAGCACATAAATTGTACACGGTATCGAGAAATAGAATTTCTTGTCTACTGGGAACAATTTAGCATAACTCGGTTTAACAAACGAGGGGATCCCATGCAAGCTTGTGTTCACCTGTTACCCAGTCATCATCACAGGGGCCAGACACATTCCAATATACATGTTGTATGGTTATAGTGTATATTATTCCTCCAAGCATTACATTGACGTGTTTGGTCCCTGTGTATATCCTCCTCCAAACATTTGCATTTGTTTTTCTATGCGAGCCCAAAGACACCCAGAGTAGATTACACGTGTAATTCTTATTAACGGTAACAGTCTCTTGGATATTTATTACCTTTTTTCATAACTTTTGAAAACATTGTGATTCATCAACAAACAATTCTAATATTATCGTCAGTTTGATGAGGATTTTAAATTGACTACAGTTAAGTTTTGATATAGCACCAAACTGTTTAACTTGTAACTCGTTTCCCTAACATCACACATCGCCTCTATTGGAATTTGCACACGTACATGTACATGCAATGCAAATGGTGTACGTCATTACATGTAAATGACCTTAGCTGTTGATAGGACGTAAAACCTGTACAACCTACTAATCCCTCCAACAAACATGTAAGTCGACGCCACGTTTCCCTCTTTTCTTAACCTTCCTATATATTTCTTCCGAAATATTTTGCCAAACATGTTTAAAACGCCAGAATTTTGAAGCTGATCAGGCATGTAATTGCAAAAACGCTGGAATGTAGGCAAATATATCGGACTTGAACAAGGCTACTACTAGTACTATAGTAAAATTTCGACTTGAGCAAAGCTACTACTAGTACTACAACAAACTTCGGACTTGAACAAGGCTACTTTGAGTATTACAACAAACTTCGGACTTAAACAAGGCTACTTCTTGAACTACAATATATTTTGAATTGATAAGGCTACTACTACAACTGCGATGAATTTCGGACTTGAACAAGACTCTCACAAGTACTACAATAACTTTCGGACTTGAACAAGGCTATCACTGGTACTACAATAAATTTCGGAATTGAACAAGGCAATAACTGGTACTACAATAACTTTCGGACTTATTATTAAAGGGTGCAGAGAGCGAAAGTCAGCGTAACCCCTGTAGTATCGAGGATGCGCAAACACATCTTGCCTAAAAGGTGTGTATTGTCGAAGAAGGAAATGGACTGGCCAAACGAGGGGATCATCAGAAAATAAGTTTGCGAAACTCTCAGTCAATGAGATAGTTTCTCGTCTTGGATTCAAAGCCGTATTACTACAATGATAATACGCCTCTGTTTGTGTCTGAAGCATCGAGCCGTATAACGAGGCATTCCGGAAGCAGAATTACTGTAACAAACACGTGCTAAACCCATCAGTCGAAATAATAGAACTTCACGAGCATTCTTAGAATAACGAACCGTCGACATTTCTCAGCAAATTCCAGGATTGCGCGTCTAAGGGGAAATAAGAACTTAGTGTTAGAGGTTAGGGTGGATTAGTGAAAGGCTGTGGGTGGGCGTTGTGAGGCGGAGGGGTACCTTAGAACGGAACGAGTATCTGGGATAGGCGAGATATCTGAACATAACATTTTGACATAGAGTGGCAAAATAATGATGACGGTTAAAGCAGTTTTGATAATGCAGGGGAAATAACTCCTGCTGATTTACTGAATTTGTTTATTTTGTTCGTTGTTGTTCGTCTCTCAGGAATAGTTAGGGCAATTCAACAAAGATGACATC